GGCCACTGAATCTAATGAGGAAACAGTCTTAATCAAATATTTATCAGACAACATAGTCGATGGTTTAGCTGAGAAAATCATATCTAGCCTTAGTGTTGAGGATGTGTCAGAGTCTTAAGGACATAACATGTGGTAACTATTCAGTCATTACACAACCCTTCTTTTCCCCAGAAGCAGCCAAGAGCTCGGCCCAGCGTCCTACAGCTGGTCCGTGGCAGAGCTGAGCTTGAAACCAGGCAACCTGCCTAACTGGAAACCACTGCGGGAGGGGTGTGCAAGCTCCTGGGAAGCACAGGGAGGCAACTGCTTCCAGCCAGACAGGACAGTGGCACAGGAGGGACCTGGGACACTTCATAGAGGAGATGACCTTTTAATTGGACCTTGAAGGGTAAATGTGAACTGAGATACCTTGAAGGGTAAACTAATTGAGAATTTTAAAAAAGAAGAGGGAGGAAAAGGAAGGAAGGAGAGGCATTCCAGGAAGAAGGAACAGCATGTGCAAAGATAGGAAGACTTCAGGGAACCACAGGGCGTTCGCAGAAAGATAAGTTCTTTGTGACTCCTTCATAGTGTGGGACCTTCAGTGTGGAGGATGGTGTAATAGGAGATGGTGCCAGAAGGCCTTTTTGTATATAAGAAATATATATATGTATATATTTTATATATTTTATACTCACTTGAGGACATTTTTCCACTTTTGTTCATGTAGAGTAGGAGGGAGAGAGAGAGAAACATCGACGTGAAAGGAACATATCGAGTGGCTGCCTCCCACATGACCCCAGCCAGGGACAGGAACAAATCACAACCGTGGTACGTGCCCTTGACCGGAATCAAACCGTGACTCATTGGTCTGTAGGTCGACGCTCTAACCACTGAGCACCAGCCAGGGCAAGAAATCTATATTTTATTCCACAGTTAATAGGGGGCATGTTGAAGATTTTAAATGAAATGAGCTGCTTTTATACTGATTTAAATTAAAAGAATCAAAGCCTTGGGATTTAAAAATGTCTAATATAGAAATATGGGTGGGGGAAGTCATTGCGGGAGGACAGCCTAGGGGAACACGCTGGAGGTAGGTGGACCTACTGGCGGCTGTTGCTGTCATCTCATGGCCAAATCCAGCCTGGGGGCCAAGAATGGCTCTTACATTTTTGAAGGGCTGTAAAACAAACAAACAAAAGCAATGAATATTTGACAGAGACTATATGTGGCCTGCAAAGCCGATAACATTTACCCTCTGGCTCTTTACATAAAAACATTGGCTGACCTCAGCTCTGCTTAAAGTTGGTGGTGGCCTTCAGAAGGGGAAGGTAGGAGAGAGGGTGAAGAGGAGGAAGGTCATCCTTCAAATCCTTGAACTGACAGGAATCCTGGCCAAGAGGTGGGGAATGAGAGACTAGGTGACGTCAAGGATGAATCAAAGAATTCTGCATGTGGCAGTATCATTTTCCAACATACAAAATACAAGAGAGAAAATCAAGGCAGAATCTTTGATTTGGGACTTGTTGCTGTGCAGTGTCCACAAGATACACAGCTGGAGATGCTCAGGAGACACATTGTACTGAACAATGTGCATGTGTCTGCTTCTCTGTGATCTATGATATACATTCCTTAGGGGCAAAAGTAACACAGTTGCTTAGTATAAATCCCGGCACATGATAGGCTCACTGAACTGAAGTAGAAGACTCAGTGCAGGATGAGATCTAGTTTAAAGGAAGAGACAAGACATTGGCTTGTAGGTGGTTACTGAAGTATGGGAGTTGATGGCATATTTAATGCACTCTTATCGGCACAATATTGAGTTACAAGTGTATATGCCTTTGTGTGGCTGGCCAATTAAAAGCAAGCCCTTCCTGTCACAGCATGTATCACTTTTGGTTCTATTTGTGGAGAGGCAGGAGAGCATAGCAGTTAGAGGCAAGGGCTTAGAGTCAGGCGACTTGAGTTTGAAAACTCATCTCTTCTACTTTCTAGCTGTAACCTTGGGCCAGTCACTCTTCTTTGTGCTTTAGCTACTTATCTATAAGATAGAGATACTAATAATACCCTTCAAAGGGGTTTTGTGAGACTTCATAATACAATCTGTTCTTAACATAGCACCCAGAGTTTTTTTATAAATAGGTCAAATCATGTCACCACTAATGAAAACCTCCAGAGGCTCAGCGGAAAGGCCAGTGTCCTTACCATGGCCTCCCATGCCTTATTCCCCTGACCTGACCTCCTTACTCTGGCCACCCCAGTCTCCTTGCTGCCTCTTCACACTCACCAGGCATAAGCCTACCCCAGTCCCTTTGCACTTGCTTTCCTTCTGCCTGGAGCACTCTTCTCCAGGATATCACTATGCATTACTCCCTCACCTCCTTTGAGTCTTCATTCAAATGTGACCATACTTTTTTAAAAATTCTTTTTTCTTTATTGATTTTTAGAGAGGAAGGGAGAGGGAGAGATAGAAACATCAATGAGAGAGAACATCAACTGGCCACCTCCTGCATGCCCCCCACTGGGGATCGGGCCCACAACCTGGGCACGTGCCCTGACCGGGAATTGAACCGGCGACCTCTTGGTGCATGGGTTGACGCTCAACCACTGAGTCACACTGGTGGGGCGAGACCACACTTTTTTGGATAGTCAACACCCTCACTCCTGGATGTCTTTTTCTTCCTCCCATGCTTTTTATTTCCCCATTACAATTCTCACATGCTAATGTGCTCTATAATTTATTTAGTGTATTTTCTTCCTCCTCCTCCTAAATGTAAACTTCATAGGAACTGGAATACTGCTGTCTGTGTTGAGTGAATGAACGATGTCCACCACATACAAAGTGCCCAGTTCGGGTTAGCAATGGTTGTTCCCCAAACCTCTGGTGCTATGTTGATGACACGGTGGCCTCTGACTCCACAGCTCACCAGCAGCGCTGGGGGACAGGGGCAGAGCAGGCCATGTCTGCTCTGTGATCCCCTCCACCCTCGAACCCGCGCGAGCTCCATCCCACCTGTCTCGGACAGTCATCTTGTTAAATGCACACTCTGGGGGAGCAGAATGCTTTATGAGAGTGCAGAACCCACTTGTAGTCTTTTTGAACTGTTCTAACAGCCTAAAGAAGAAAATGTGTGTATACACAGTAATGCTGTTCTTTTGATATTAAATTAGTATTAAAGTGGGATGGAAACTCCTCTTATATTGAGCTCCTATGGAGAAAAACAAAGTAATTTTAGAGAAAAAGCAGCTGCCCTCAGCAGTGGGCTCAGAAATGTCAATTTTAATTAAAACATTTATTTTCAAATACATTTCACGGCTCATATGTAGTGATATGTGTCTACTTCATGCAAACATTCAAACTGGTAGGCTGAGGAAATCGGAGAAAGGCATTTTGATACAGAATGAGCAATATGATCAAAACAAAGAAATGCAAAGAAAAGACGATCCGAGTCATGCTTCGGTTTTTCCTCACTTCACATGTCAGATTGTTCCTCAGGGACGTGCCCCCTGCTGGGTACCGGGCTACGGACACCTTGGAGAAACCTGGTGTCGGGGGTCAGTGGGCAGTGGCGGCCATGCCCCCACCCGCAGGAGAGATCCGCTTGTGTAAGGATTCCTGTCCACGTCAACAGAGAGCCTGTCTCCCAGTGTTCTAGATCTTAGCAAGAAGAAAACCACCCAAATCGCCAACTTCCAGCTCAAAACCCTCCCAAATGTTGTCATTCCCTGAGTACTGTTTTGGGTTTGAGATATTAACACTGCAGAAAGGTGTCCAAACTGTTACAATGACCTTCTGATCTCCTCTCTCCTCTTGTTCTCTGCCCTGCAGAGCTTACGCACCTGCCAAACTTCTGTTGACTTCCCAGGGAAACCAGTCATGACTTCCATGTGGCCAAAAACGCATTGAAATAAAAATGTGGCCAATTTTAAAAAGCAGCAATTTAGGCTTAGAATTTCTGAAAAGTTTGCTCAAATTTCTGTAGTCCTCTGTAAATACATTTTCTTTAAAATTTGGATATCAAGATAATCTCTATGTGTGCTGTGCTAAAACATCACGGTGGTTAGGTTAAAATCAAAGACAAGAAGCAATATTTATTAGTGTGACAAGTGTCCTTTATCTTGTAATCTGGTGAGTGCATTTCTGATTAAGGTGTAGCCTACTATGAGAAAAATCACAACATATAAATACAGTTGCATCGATTGCTGCTCTCAATATGCTTTTAACCTCTTCAAAGGAGCCATTAACATCACAGTCAGAAACGCACAGTGAAGTCCAGAGGATGTGTGCAGCGCTGCCATCGGCTGTGTGCGGCAGTGCTGAGCACGTCCACAGGCTCCCGAGTTCAGTGTACAAGTTGTGAGAGTCTGACTTCGTATTTAGTGACGATGGCATACTTCCCATTTCTTTATTTCTGAGCTAACTTTAAAATGCTTTTGAGTTTTGTACTTTGATTTTAACAGTGTACTAAATTATAATAGATACTTTCTTAAACCCAAACATTTTGTTCTCCCCTAGGAATAGATAGATGATAGATAGATAGATAGATAGATAGATAGATAGATAGATAGATAGATGATAGATAGAGATTAAGAGCTCTGATAAAGGGAAGGAGAGCCTGCGTTTTCTTTCGGATTGCTGGTGGAAGGGCTATCCGATCACTGCGCTATTTGGCAACGGCAGACATGTATCCTGGCAGCGTGAACTGAGTGGTGTGTTGATGCCACAGAAAAGTACATGGATAAATCTTAAAAAAAAGATCAACACTGGTATACTTAACACCAACAAAAGAAAACAAGTCTTTTTTTTTTAAATCCTCACCCAAGGATATATCTTTCCATTTATCTTCAGATAGATTGGGAGGGAGAGAGAGGGTGAGAAAGGGAGAGAGAGAGAAACGACGTGAGAGGGACACATTGACTGGTTGTCTCCTGCACAATCCCCACCAGGGCCGGGGACAAACCACAACTGAGGTATGAGCCCTCGGCTGGAATTGAACCTGCGACTCCTTGATCCACGGGCCCACGTTCTACTGCTGAGCCAAACTGGCCAGGGCAGAAAACAAGTCTTGATCATGCGTTTTTACATAGCTGCTCATCTGATCCTACCAACGTTTCTTTGACAGAGGGATTATTATCATTCCCATTTTTCAGATGAGGAAGCTCACAGGTTAAATCGTCCCACATCATAAAATTAGTAAAAGACTTGAACCCAGGCAGTTGGGCTTTACAATCTGTGCTTTTAAACACTCATATTTAGTAAAAACAGAGGATGTGTCCTTCTAGGACCTTCCTTTCCATTGGATGATGGTTGGTTGCTCATAGAATAGTGGTTAAAGGCAGGGTTTTCAAACCAACGACTGGATTTAAGTCATAGCTGCTCCAACTCCAGCTGTGAGATTTCAGCCTCTGATGTTGGTACCAATTTGGCACCTATTTTGATGTCACTTACCACTTCCTTCAGATCCCTCACTCCCATTTTTATGTTATTGTTCTCTTTCCAACATCTCCTGGAATCCGTGGAGGATGTGGCACAACAAAACCAGGTGTCACGGGAGAAACAAAGAATCCAGTTACTAGGATGCTCAGATGAAGCCGTGATTTTATCAAGTAAAAACTGCAGAAGTTGTGGGTATTAGGCATACTTGGTCAAGTGTCTAATAAAAGCCCATGAAAAGCGAATGCATTATATGCTTTATGTTGATGTTGCTCAGGTAAGCAAAGAAGAGACATCATCTTCAGAACCAAAGGCAGTGAAAAGAACAAACAGCTTTCCGTAGCATTTAGGCACCAGGGTGGAAGCCACTTATTATCAATATAGCAGATAGAATCATCCTGTGTATCAGCACAACTCTTTACACCTTGTAGAAGGGGCGCTGTGTACTGTAAATAATTTAATCATGATGAGACCACGAAGAGAGAGGCACCGTTAGTGAGAGGGATCCTACCAGCCAGCCGCTGGCTTGTATTAAAAGAAGAGATGTAATGAATTGATGGGCAGAAGTTGAAAACGGAAGGTGTATTTGCTGGCGATTTTTATTTTTTTGTCAGTGGAGGACCATTTTTGCTTTCTGAAGCATTTGGTTAATTTAAAGTAGCTCTTGTCATTAAGTAATCTTTAAATTAACCTGCAACCGTGTGTCAGCAGCTGTGTGATGGAAGCAAATGCATTATGTATCGGTGTGTTGGATGTAAGTTCTCAAACAGCCAACCATGGTTCTCCACATCAAAGAGCACCCTTATCAAGGGCTTGGCTGGGAGGATAAAGCACTGGCGATTTACCTGATGACCTTGGTTCCCATCCAAATTGTATTGCCAGTGAAAGGACTTTTCTGATCTCAGCCCCACACAGGTAGACAGTAGTTCATATCACCAAAACACAGATAGGCAAAGCTGGAATTTCCCCGCTTAGGAGCGACCTGAGGCTGAACAAGTCCAGAGACATGGATGTGGAAAAGCGTCCAGCTCACACGCCAGCCTGGCCATGGCGTCTTCTCCACTGGACAAGGTGGCTCAGAATAGCAGTCTGGGGATGTGCTCCAACCTGGCTTGCGGATAAAGAAATCTGTTTTCAGAGCTTGCAACTCGTCCAAGTCTATTTTTCACGCCAATACCTCCTCTCCAAACCCTCCCGTCCCCCAACCCCCTTGTACCAGAAACAAAAAGCAGAAAGTCAACCAGAGGATCTCTAGGATGCCATTTGCAGAACTCGTGTGATGGTTTTAATCTTTTGAAAGGATGATTCCAATTAGGCTGAGATGTTTCAGACCTTAAAAATTAAGATTAAAAACAGTTATTACTTTTTCAATAGAGTTTAAATCACGGAGTTGACTACCATCCCAGTTACGCCTGCATTCTCAGGAATGAGAGCCACTCCATCAACTGGTTTTATTATTTTTAAAAAAATGTTTTAATCAGATAATTAAAGACAATGTAGTTTGTATTTGACATTTGAATTTATTTGATAATTGCCACTTCCTTCAGATCCCTCACTCCTATTTTTATGAGTATATATCCCAAATGGGTAATATCTTTACGTCTGTACATTTGATCACTTCCTTTATTATTTTTACTCGATTAGTTTGCTACTTTAGTCATTCCTAGGCCCTTTCAAGAAATATTTTAGTAATTGTGGAGTAAAGTAATTAATATATAATAATCATATCTATTTTGTGAAGCAAGAAGGGAGCATATGGTTATACACTATATCCTTTATTTCCAAATATAGATAGGTAAGAATGATTCTCGTTAGCTATAAGAACACTCAGCCAGGCAAAAATGTGCATTGCTATGACAGAACCGTTAGAAGTGTTTCAGATCCTGTTCTCCATATATACACATTAAGTAACTTAAGCTATTTTAAAAGCAAAGGCTCAGGGGGAGGGAAGAGATAAACCAAAGAACTTATATGCACGTATGCACAACCAATGGACTTAGACATCAATGCTGGGGGGAGCAGGATAGGGAGGAGGGTGTCAATGGTGGGGGGAAAGGAGAAACACCTATAACAAAAAAATTAATAAAAAATAAATAAATAAAAGAAAGGCTCGTCTCCTGGTTGGGAGAGGGAACATTGCTAGGGGTTTATGTTTCTACTAAAGGAAAACATCCCTCACCCCCAAGAATTAAAGATGACCAGCCCCTCCCAGGTGAGGAGAAGTCTCGTCGTTTTCTACGTGTGGAGCCCAGTGTGAGAACACGGAGCCGGTCTAGCACCACTAGCTCCAAGGGCTCGTACAGGAGACTGGAAGCAAACACAGGTTGGGGCCGAGGTGGTTGTCAGGACGCAGAAAGCTGCACAGGGAGCCAGACATTCAGGGGCTCTGCCTGGGAAGGAGGTCCCGGGATTTTGCAGGAGGTTGTTCATCCCTGGTGCCTGCACCATGGGCTACGTGGGCTTCTCTCACGGGCACCGAGGGAGAGCAGATGAAAGGGTACAAATGCAACCGCCTTTTATTGTCAGCAGACAAAAAGGGGCACACATGTGCCAGTTTATAAATTACTGTTTTCATTAAAAAGGAGCTCAAAAATCAGGTTCCACTTATCATTGCTAAAACCTTACATTTTTTTAGCCGTATGATTTCATTATATGAATTACAGAACCGTAATAGAGTAATATTACTCTTAAGCCAGCTCACTTAAATTTAAGACATTCAAGACCCAATAATGCACTAGGTTCTTTAGTTCAACTTATGCAAATAATATACATTTTTTATTCAGCTTCCCACCAGGTTATACATGTATTACAAACACAACAAAGACCTCTTTCTTATACAATATATTACTCAGAAGCTGGTGAAAAATAGAAGCCAAAATATTGTGAATTACATTCTTAAAATGGTTTGGCTTTGTACTGCTGGCTGGCATATTTCAAACACTGAAGAGTCTGGGGCTGGAAACAGAAAGGCTGACTCACTGCACCTGCTACAGTCATCACTGCTGATGCTCCTCCACGGCTACACCAGACCGTTACCTTCGTTTTCTTTGGAGAGGAACTAGCAGACCCAGCTTTGCTGTATTTGCAAAATCAGCAGGGGGAAGGGTGTGTCAGACAGACAAAAATTAAAAAAGGGACTGAAACCTAACATTTCCCGCTCCCGTGGCTGTCCCTGAACTCAGAGCTGGGCAGACCCTTTTTTTTCTTTCATGCCAAGGTGATGATGGAAATCACTATGGACTATTTCACAGGCGTCATCTCTTAAACAGTTCATACAGTTTCCTAATGTAATTCATACATGTTTAACATAGTCACTGGCATGGTAATTCCACTGAGGCGTTTAAAGAAAAAAACAAGCTCAAGTTTAGAAAAACAGAAATGCTGAATTCTGTCTTGGGATGGAAACAATATTCACTTTATTCATAGACTTAGCTCCAAAAATGATATGCTGGGTGGGAAGATGGCTGTGTCCTTCCCAAGGTCAGCATGTTTCCATTCATGCCCAGTGTAGTTCATTGATAACTTGCTTGAATTGATAAAAGCAAGCAAAAAATAAAATAAAATGATATGGATTTTTCAAAAAAGGGTACATAAGTATATTTATGTGTGTCTCTGAAATATACAGGTTAGTGTCAAAATCTCATAGTTAAGAAACATCCCTCTTCTAAGAGGGCTTTACTTGTTTATGCCAGGCTAATTGAAAACAAAAATAAGTGGAAAATAGGAAATTCAGTCCTTGGGCTTCATGACGTAACGTGAGCTCTGTGGGAACGAGGGAGCATTCCTTTATACTTGTGTGCAATCTGAGCTCAGTGGCTTTGAAAGCGCTGACGTCCTCCACAAAACTCCTTCCTCCCTTTTTCCCCTTAAAAAAAAAAAAAAACCCACCTCAATCATATAATCTCATCAGCATTGCTAACAGAAACTCTCACCTCCAATTCCTTCCTGGGACGGAGTGGGTAGAACCAGTCTGTGGAGTACTTGGCGGATCACTCCCAGCCGCTTGTTTAAATTCAACAAGTGTCAGTTGCGTCTCTCCCGCCAGGTTTAGCTCTTTGGACGGGGCAGAGGGGTGCACTGGCGGGCCGGCCAGAGGGTTTACCGTGGAGCATCTCTGTCTGATGCTCTGGTGGGCCCCTGGAGCCGTGCATGGCCCCTTTCTTACCCAGTGTAGGCACAGGGTCACCCTTACTGTCACAAAACCTGAACTGGTACTGATGTGCAAGATTCACAATTGCCCTCCATCAGATTGCTATAAAGAAAAGACAGTGAGGTCAGAATTATTTCTTAATTGCATTTCACACCTGGTTAACATACTGTCTACAGCTGCCAGGAGATGAAAGGGCTGATTGATCCTTGAAGAAAGAATAGGTAGGGTGGGCATTGGGGGACTTGAGAGCCAGGCATACTGGGGTGGAGTGAAAAGCAGAATTCACTTTTGGCAGAATTAATTTCTTGCCAGCATCTGAAAAAGAGGGAGGTGGCTCTGGGAGCAGCCTTCATCCTCCGATGCTGACTGCAAGCACCCCTCCCCAAACAGCCTCACTGTAAACAGCCGCTATTTTAGATGCAATTAGACTTCCGTGGGCCACGCTCAACAGCTGGGAAGACTTTCCAAAGTTTTCTCTCTTTAATTTGAGTGGAATACTAAAGAAATAAAATATCCTGACAACTTCTTGCATTGTCTTGTGACTTTAAAAAAAAAAAAAAAAAGCAGCCTGTGAAGTATCACTGCTCTGTTTTAGTCTAATGCTACTTCTATCTTTTATCCTTTTTAATTAGAAGGCAAATTCTCAGACCGCCAGGCCTAATCCCTACACAGTGGAACAAAGCCCAGCAAAGCCTTTGAACACTGTTCAGCCGGGCAGCACAAACCGTAGTAACTGTTGGCAGTAGGGGCAGGACTCTGACCCTCATCTCAGCCATTCTCCTGGAGCTCCTGACGCTCCCTGCCCTTCAGAACCCTATCTGTTGTTCTTCTGTTTAGACTGAAAAGACAAAAGAGGAGACAATGTGGGAAACCTAGAGGATTGGCTAGGTAGGATGCGGGAGCTAGTGATGGATAGGGGCAAGTAAATGGAGTTTCACGGGAATGGACACAGTGGGGAGAATTGGATCACCAGATTAGGTCTTTAGGTTCAAGAAATTTCTTCATCCCTCACTAAATCTTTTCATGGACAATGCCACTTTTTAAACAATTGTTGCATTTCCAATTACTCCAGGAGTGTTCAAACAAATGCCCCCAAACCCTCCATGAAAAGTTTGCTCATATTTTAAACTCGCCAGATGAAAATCAATAAAACAAACACCCCCAAATCAGTGACAGACACTGACATCTCCAGAGTATTTACACTTGTAATAATATTTGAAGCAAGAGCATAATTTGAGCTCACTCAAGCAAAACATGCAACTAGACAGAAATGTGAATTCTCAAAGCTAATGGGAACAATCATGAATCAAAAAGCCAAATTCCAAGTATGCAAATATGAAAAAGGTTTGTTTGCATTTCCTACTTTGGTTAACTGTGAATTGCTGAACAGTGAAACAACAGATGCTACCACCCTGCCGCAGACTCTCCCGAAGTGTGCTTAGGTTCAGCTCCGAATGTGTGGGAGTTACTATCTGATGCCAGGGTGGTGGTTGGGAGTTGTATTGGGATTTCTGCAAAAGACAATCATTTTCTGTGTGTGTGTGTGTGTGTGTGTGTGCGCGCGCGCGTGTGTGTGTGTGTTTTAGATAGTTGGGATAGACATTTCAGGAGGAAAGGGAAAGAAAAACAAAACCTCTTATTGCAAACATTTTTAACAGCCCCTCAGGTCACTTTCATTTTTCGCCCCCAACTCTAATGTCTACACAAACACCAATATATGTAGCGCAATACTTAACCCATTAGGGTTGTCTTTGTAACCAAATTTAAAATGTGTTCCTCCTCTGGCGTTAGGTGATTAAGAGGTTAATTTAAACCATAGGAAAGGATTCATTCAGTCAAGGGTTTAGATGAATGATGTTCAAAAATTTGTGCATTTTATTGTGTAATCTTAAATTCATAGTTAGGGCTGAGCCGCTTTTAAGGAAACTCCCAGTTTTAAAGCTCTTAGTAGGACAGATGTGCCCAAGTTTTATTTTTAAACAAAATGTAATTTTGGAATTTTTTAATGTGGGTTTTACATTGATCTCTCTAGCACGTGTATTTTGAGAACATATGTTTGTCTTATTCAAAGGATAGCAATATACATAATTATCATTCATTTCTGTCTAATATCTGTTATTCAAATGACAAAACTCAGTATCTTCCTCAATATTTTCTGTCTTGGCTCTGTGGAGGCAAATCCTTTCTCCAAGCCAAACAGTGGTAAAATGGGTGAAATGCACAAAGACAATCAAATAGTATTTTACAAAGAATGATGTGGCATTATTGACAGTCTTCTCCCAGTTTGCCTTTGTGTTTGTCTTTACTTTTGATATCTTCAAAAGATATACAAAATATAGCTACCAACATCGATGGTCTTGAAACACACCTCATGTTTATTCTTTGTTTTAAGTGAAAACTGTCTAAAAAATTAGGATGTGCCGATTATTTCAGGGGCTCCCAGCAGTGATCACAATTTGCAAGTAAAAATATTTAAAAATTTTATAGAATACTCTTTGTAAAGATAGAAGCGTTTTAAAGAAATTGTCTAAATGTTTGCACACATTTCACTGTCCAATGCTCCAATGAAAATGATCAATTAACATTTGCATAAAAGAGAGCAAATTCATTATGCACGTGTTGTAAAGTAATCATTGGAAATCTTGACCTAGTGGGAAATGATTCCTTGCGGTCAGCGCGACCATGCTGTCTGTTGCAGGTGTAACGAGCGCAATGGACAAAGTGCTGTAGTGATATTTAATACTACATTTCCAAAAGAAGGTGGTAAACTCAGAGAGAGTCCCAGAAATGCCTACAGACCACAGCTAAACAAAGTGCCCATGCATCACTTCTCTCAGGGAATGGCTTCTGTGTGTTATGTCTCCACGTCACTGTCAGCTACCTAGTCACCTTGATCATGTGTATGAATTAATTTCATTAGAATGCAACAGAAAATAATCTGGATCAGAGGAATCCAAAGCTTTTGAAAACAGTGTTTTCTTGGAAGAAACTCCAACTTGCATGGGCCCTGACAACGCAGTGCACCTTGTCTCGCAACACAGTTGAATAGACTCATTAATACTTATTAGAACGTGAACACTATAAGATTGCCAAGGTTAAAACATTTTTCGGGCAGGTTTGTGTTTGTCATCGTTATTTAGTTGCTTCCAATGAGTTAAGCTTTCTTTAAATAAAACCTTAGAGGGTTTTTGAAGCTTATAATGTAAATGACCACAAATACTAAGCTCAATCAAAACAAATACTAAAAAAAAAAAGAAAAAGCCAACCCTTAATTCTGTATTCTGATCCATCCATGACTGTATAACTATATCATTAACGATGTTCTCTAACTGGGGAAGTCCCTACCCTAGAGTGTAAAGGATCAAAGAAAACATTCTTTTCTGTCTGGTACACTTAGTGGTCCTGCCTCCCAACAGTGGGATAAAAGGAACTTGCTAAACTGTTGCCATTTTGCAACATCTGCTATAATTCCCCTAAATCCAGATTTGTCTGACACAGAGAGGCCTGTTCTTACATCATTGCCATGTGACAGTATAACACCAGTCACATCAAGCTGGAGGATTGCAGCTCCAGGCTATGATAATATGAAGAAAACCTTTTTGCCTAAGGCAAAACACTTGTAACAAAGTATTATTCATCTGGCCAATTTAAATCTTCTCTCAAAAAGGTACCCAGAAACATATGCAGTATGCCTTTGTAAAAGGCTCCAGCGGCTCATAGGCAAATGACCTGAACCAAGTGTACAAAACCTAATGTCCTGATTAATTACTGCTAAGCGGCTCTGATACACAGAAAAGAGAATGCTGGTACTAATCCTTAACCCCGTCCTACATTCTCAAAATAGCCAAAACATTGTTGACAGTTACAAAAACAAACCTGTCCATGTTTTTTTGTGTGCGTGTGTGTGTGTTTTTTCCTAAAGTCATACATTATCGCTCGGTGTCCATCTAATAAAACCAGGATGCAGACAGTTTGGGAGTTACCAGTCCAGGGGGCTTCTTGGAACAAGGCCAGAGGCTCATAGGAAAACAAAAAACAAAACAATCTAAAGGGGGACAACAACAATACACAACCCCCGAACATATTGGGTATTTTGGGTGTTCTTCTTTTCAGGGTTCAGCTTCCAAGAGAATGAGCTTTTCTGGCGATTGTTCCTTAAGTTAGGAGTTGAGCAACCTTAACACAGAAATGCTTTGCTGATTAGCCTGGAGCGGTGAGATTGCTGTGCTTAGAACCGCATTAGGAAAGGGTCTCTGACTTTCTTTTACCTATAAAAAAAAAATAAATAAATAAGAGGATGCTTGTATGTCACTACAAACGTCAGACATTAGAATTTCAAACTGTTTGAATTGGAAAGCTATGTAGGTGTCATCAATCACTGAAATTATACCTACCTTTATTAGTAAAGCAGACACCTGGAGTCCCTGTCACTTTTGCTAGCTAAAAGAATTAAGTCCTATATATGAGAGAAGGAAGTTGCTCATCTTAGCAGATTTCTTTCATTAAAAAAAAAATCAAAACGTCAATAAATGCAGCTCATCTTACTGTTGGCCGAAATACTATTACATTTATAGGTACATCAAATAGAAATACTTCTCTGGCACTTCATGGAAGACACGGCACTTCAATAGCACTAGTTCAAAGTAAATAATGATCCTTATCTATTTTGAAGACTGTCTCTAATTTTTTTTTTTTTATCCTCACCCCAGGACATTTTTTAATATTTTGTTCAGATAGAGTGGGAGGGAGAGAGAGAGAGAAACATCGACGTGAAAGGGACACATCGAGTGGTCGCCACCCACAGGACCCAACCAGGGCCGGGGACAAACTGCAACTGAGGTACATGCCCTTAGCGGGAACGGAACCCGGGTTTCTCCAGACCGCAGGCCGACGCTCTAACCACTGAGCCAAACC